GAGCGGCGGGAAAGGCCTTGGGGCCGAGGGGCGCACACCGACTCCGATGGGATTTGAACCCGCGACCTCAGATCCCCTGCGGGGCGGGAGTGGGGACGTGGAGGCCAGCACCAGGCTCGCGGAGCTGCGCCCCAGAAACGGAACCCCTGTTTGGAACCTGGGGCTCCCCAACACCCCGTCCCCACCCCACCCTCCGCCCCGCCTCGCCCCGCCACTGGAGAGGGGCCAGCCCTAACGGGCAGTCGCCCAGAGGGTCTCCAGTACCGCCTGGGGGCCTGAGCAGCCCCGGTCCCCGCTCCCCAGGCCCGCCGAGCCGCCTCCCCTCCCCCCGTTTGGTATTTACACCTTTCACACATTTGTAAGCTATTATCCTGTCCACGCTTAGTCACCGCTGAGCCAAGCGCCACGGATTTAGCTCCTTTAATCTTTCCTCCTAAATCAATCCTCCATTTCCCCTTAATCATCCCGTGGCTCCTCTCTGAACTCTCTCGCTGCTGCCTCGCCTGCTGCAGCCCATGCCTGTCTCTGGAACTGCTCCCCCTCCAATCCCAAACGGGTGTCCCAAGGGCATGGGGAACATGGGTGGGGGGGGGTAGGTTGGATTTCCAGCGCTGCCGGCCCCCGGCTCGGGAGCCAGGACAAGTAGCGCAAACACTTCCCCCCCCCCCACACCCCCACTCTCTTTCTGGAAACACACAGCACTCTGAACCTTCTTGTCTCCACCCTGCGGGTCTCTGTCCTCCTCCCGCCTTCCCACCCCCATTCCTCTGGATGGCTCCAAGACCCTAACCATCAGGTCTCCGGCCTCGGTGCCGGCTGTAGCCACCCCCTCTGTCCCAGGGTGCCTGTCCATCTCTCCCGGCCACCCTGTCCCCACCCAGCATTTACTCCCGCCCAGTGGGACCCACTGACTCAGGGGCCTCAGCCTGAGCAGCCCTGAAGCTCAGCACTCCGAGTGCTCCCCGGGATGCTCCTGCCTCCCTGCGGCCCATCCCTGATTCTTTCTGCCTCCACGAGTCGGCCTGGCAGAGGCCCTGCTGCCAGCCACAAGAGGGAGCAGATTCCTCCCGGGAAGCAGAAGGGTAGGGGTGGAGATCCCGGAGGGAGCACGGGTAGGGGAGAAAGAGGGAGGACAAGAGGGTGTTACTGGGGCCATTTCTTCAAATGCTAATCAGCATCTTCCGGCAGTGCCACAAGAAGCTGAGCTGATAATGAGCCCAGCTCGGGGCTGATTCCTGATTAATGAAGAGGCCACAGGGCTGCTGAGTGGGGCCGGGTGGGGCACGTCCCTCCTGGCCCTCCCCGCTGCCCTTGCAGACCGGTCCTCTGTAACAATAACAGCCCCTGCCCTTGGATGCTTGGCCATACTACTCAGATCCACCCCCCCCCCCCACCAACTCCACTGGCCAACGGGAAGCAGCCAGACTGGGCAGGAGCGGGGGAGAGCAAACACCGGGTTCTGCAATCCCGGAGTCGTAGGTAGCCCTTGGAGTATTTTTTTAAATCAGGAACATTTTTATTAAAATGATCAAGACTTGGGCTTCCCTGGACAACACCCCCAACACACGCACGCGCGCACACACACACACACCACTGGGCATCCCTGACCATAGGGCCCTAGTTAGCTGGGGCTGAGGAGCAAGCTGCTCCCCTCAGGGATGAGTGAGCTTCAGTTTTGCTCAGACCCCACCCTTCCCTGCTGTGTGCCCTCCCCGACCTGACCTGCCTGGCTCCTAAAGACAGGATCAACCCTGAACTAGATGGTGAACTAAATGTTCTCAAGATTCATGCCTCAGGAGAGGACAGGAGCAGATGGGGACAGAGGGCTGGACAGAGGGTGAGGATAAGAGGTAAGCTTGTCTGCCTGGACCAACCTCAATGGGAAGCCCGTCCCTTCTTGAGTCAAGGGGATAAGGGGCAGCCCTCAGCCCCTCTGGAGCCAGCAGCAAAGGTATGGAGTTGGCATGTTCTCGGGGTAGCCCCCCCACAACCAAGGAGGTGGGGCAGAGATGATCAGTACTGGCCTGACCACACCAGGGAGGGGGACAGGCTCAGGAGGCAGCTGGGATGGAAGGCAGGGGACTGCCGAGGATCTGGCATGGGGGAGCCAGGGAGTGCTAGAGGGCCTCCCCGCTTGCTGCTCCCCCTGCCTCAGAGCTGTCCTGGCTGGCAGCTGGGGTGGGGCTGGGAGAGGAGGGAGGAGGGCAGGGAGGGGGACTGCCCAGCTGGAAGAGGCCTTGTCTAATTGTGCCTGATTAGTAGAGAGGAAGAGAACAGGGCGAGTGATTAATAGTCACGGCAGTCACCAGCGAGTGGGGAAGGAAGGCTGGGAGGGGGAGGGAAGTCTGAGAGCCAAGAGGGGATGGGGCCATGAAGTGCCCACGGGTCCCTGGTCCCCTGCCCGCCCAGGGACTGCCTGGACCCCTGACAACCCCACAGAGAGGGGCCAGGTCCTACCCCTGCCTCCTCAAGGACTCTCCACCTTCCCCATCCCTCAATTTTCCAGACAATAGAATGGAAGAGAAAAGACCGAGGTCATGTCCTGCACCTGGGGAAAAAGGTCTATTTGCTCATGTGGTGTTTCCAGACACCTCAATGTCCCCAGACACAGACCCTAACCTCAGCCCAGATTGGAGATGGCGGCACTTCCAACCAGAGCCCACAGCCACCACCTCACATCCTTGGACCCCAGTTGGAATTCCTAGCCCTGCCCATTCTGGCAGTCTGACCCTCGTTCCTCGGACCACCAAGAACTACACTGTCCAATATGGTTGCCACTAGCCACATGTGACTGTTTGAACTGGCCATTCATTTTCCCTGTCACACCAATCCCCCGTCAGATGCTCGATAGCCAGTGTGGCCGGTGACTACCCTACTGGACTGCGCAGATCCAGAACCTTCCCCCCATCCCAGAGATGTCTGGTGGGAGAGCACTGATCTGGAGAGTGTGTGTGCACACATGCATGCGTGCATGGATATTTGGGAGGGGTGGGTCGCAGGGCAATGCTGTAATAGTGTAGGGGAGGGTCTGGACCTGAGGGTCGAGACGGGAAAGGCCGGGTGATGGCCAGCAGCAAAGCTGCCGACACAGGGGTCAGAAACAGCAGCAGTCAGGTGAGAGAGCAGACGCTTCCAGAGACACACGCACCGCCAGGCAGCGCGCTAAGTTCTTTGCAGCCATCTTTTTCATCCTTACAACTGCCCGAATTTTTTAGGTTCTACTACTGTATTTACTGAGTATAGAAACCGCGGCTCATGGAAGCTTTTTGACTTCTCCAAGGCCACACAGCTTGAAGGGGAGAACTGAGGTTCAAATCCAGCTGGTCTGGCTCCGGAAACCACACACTTGACCACCCCACCATACACTCCCGGGCTGAGAGGAGATGCTGAATTTTAGAGCCACCCTTGCATTTTACAGCTAAAGAAATGAAGCCTAGGGAGAAAGAGTGATTTCTGCCTTCTAGTAAGTGGGCAAGCTGAGAGCGAGCCGCAATGGGGAAAGTATGGATGGGGCTTGGAGCACCAGGGTGGGGGGGAGCAGATGGTGGTGGGAATTGGGAGGAAGGGAGAGAACATATAGGTGGTGAGAGCAGGAGGTGAGGTGGGAGTGGGTGGGTGGGGATGAGACTGAGTAAGGAGGGGGAGGGGAGGAGGAGAGGAGAAGAGGAGGAGAAGGGCCCCAGGGGAGCTGGGTGGAGGGGAGCATGGGTGGGGCCAAGAGCATCTCCCCCATCTCTCCCTTTCTCTCCAGACTCCCCAGACCTGCCTCATGCCTTGAACCTTTCCAGCCCTCTTCAGCCCAGAGTGGCCTCTCTCTCTCTCTCTCTCTGAACTCAGGCTCTTACTCTTCATGTACCTCTTTTGGCAATTAATCCTGGCACCTCATGACATCGCTTGCATGGCTGGTTAACTCTTGCATGGTTGGTTAAGCTTCTGAGCGTCCCTGTCTCTGCTCCACCGCAAGAGTGTAGGCTGCTTGAGGACAGGGACTGGGGACTGGGGCTTCCCTCCTTTGTTCTCCCCCACGCCACCTAGCAGGCACAGAGCCAGCACGCCGAGCTCCATGTTGACTGGGTGAGTGACTGGGAGTCAGTGAGGGGGTATCAGGGAGCGTGGGGGGGAAGCAACTGCAGTGGTAAAAGAGGCAGGAGAAGCAGCTTAGGGGACTGGGGGAGGGCGCATTACCCGGAGTAAAAATAGGCTGGAAAATATGACATTTATTAACTTGGATTCTGGAGGAAAGGTCACAGCAGAGTGGGGAGTGGGAAGGAGGAAACAGGGAAAGCAACAGAAAACACATCGCAGCCCCTTACCCAAAGCCTGTCACTGTTACTGACCATCTTACCACCCGTGCCCGGGCAGGTTCCTCGCCACCTGGTGTCTGTACCCGTCTCCCTACCACTGATCCCCAGCATGAGCTCCATGTTCTTACCAGAGGGCCATTGTGGACCTCCTGTGCTCAGTAGAGACCTCATGTCTTCATCTCCTACCTCTTCTCCAATCTTGCCCCACAAGACACCCCCATCTTGTCCACTGCCACAGTTCATGGATTGCCATCCCAGCCAATAATCCCAGACCCCGTTGTATTTGTAGCAGACTCAACCCTAGAAGGCGAGGTCCAAGGGAGAGTTACGCTCAGCAAATGGGGGACGGGGTGTGGGCAGAAGGGTATGGCGTCTAGACTGGGTGGGGGACACAGAAAGCAGGATCCAAAGGGGAATTCCTGTCCCTCAGTGCTTGCTTTGCCCCTCCGCTCTTCTCGGGCATGCCGCAACCCCAAAGCTGAAACCCACAAACTTCGCCTACCCTCCTCAGCCTCCTCTCTGCAGCCCCAGAGTATGAAAAGGCCTGCGGGATGTCCATCCTCCTCTTTAGCCATCCTCAGGATTCTGAGAGACTCCCTGTTCCCATAACCTCCAAGCACCTCTTCCTTTCCTAGAGCCAGGCAGGAAACCCCTGCTTCCCTCACCTTACCCATCTCTCCCTCCTCCCTCCTCCCCTCCTTCCCATTGAGGTTTCAACACACTTCCCCTTTCCTTTTTACCCCCAACTGGGGCCTGAGATGCAAACTCCCGCTCAGGGACACAAAGCTCCCATTGATTTCTGCCCCCACAGCACCTGCTGAGAATGGGCTCTGTCTGCCCCCCCAACTTTGAGGGGTGAGGATGTCAGACAGAGGGGCCCCAGGGACCCCAAAGGCCACATGCACACTCTCAACACCTCACCTCCTCCTTGGGGACTCCTGCAGTCCTGGGTTTGGGAGCAATGATTTTTTCCTAGAAGAGGGTGTGTAAGCCACACAAAAGCCCAGCGCCCCCCAAACCAGCACTATCCCTCCTTCCTGTCCCTTCCTCCATTCCTACCCAACTGCGCCCGCATCCCGTGGCAGGAGGACCCAGCGGCTGCAGGCATGGGTGGTGGTGAGAGGAGCCATAGTAGGCCTACTAGGGGCATGTTTCCTGCCGATGCTGAGGCAGTGAGTGAATGGGAACCTGGGCCGGGGGCAGCTGGGCTGGAGGAAGGCAAGCCCCCCACTCCCGCTCCCATCTCTGGGGCAGGCCACTGGAGGCTGGCTGGAGTGGGCACCATGTTGATGCCACGTATTTGCACACGCACTGGGCAGTGGTGACAAGGCTGCAAACACACACATGTACACAACGCTGGGAGTCAACTGTGGGCTGGGGACAGGCATCCCAAGCACCGGGGGTAATAGATACCCCGTGACTGTGGGTGAATGGAGCACCGACAGACAGACAGCCCGCACCCGAGACACGCCCCCCATGCTCACACCTGACTATGGGAGGGCAGCCCGAACCGACATGCCGATCCCAATGAGAGTGTGTGTGTCTGTGCTCACACACGTGTGAGACATGGCACCAGCAGTCCCCACGTGGGGAGCAGGGATTGAGGTAGACGGGGCGGGGGGAGCATCAGGAGAGGGGATGGCATCCACAGTGTGGCCCTGTCCTCAGCAGCTAAGTGAGATCTGGGATGTGGGCATGGGGATGAGGAGCTCTGGGTGTGTGGGTGTGCAGGTGTGCTCGTGAGTGTAGTGACAGGCACACTGAGTATGCGAGAGGCAGTGCAGGAAACTGTCCCCAGCAGCAGGGGTGTGTGTGTGTGTGTGTGTGTGTGCGCGCGTGTGCTGGGTCGCAGCGAGGGTGAGCCGTGCACACAAGAGTGAATGAGTGATTCTCAGTGTAAGAGCCAGAGCCGGGCAAGGGAACAGCAAGACCCAGGAAACGGAGGGAGGGCGAGCGGGAGAAGCTGGAGGGGCTGCATGAAAGAGGGATGTGTGAGAGAGTCTGTGAAAGGGGGTGTGTATGAGAGACACGGAGACAGAGAAGAGACACTGGCACCCAGTGTACCCGAAGATCAAGACCGTTTCTTCCAGCCTGCCGGTCGGGCCAGCTCCCCAGGAGGCAGCCCTGAGTCCCTCTCTTTGCTGGAGCCCCCCAGACACCCTCTTCCCATCACCCTCATCCAGTGGGGAGAAGAATCCAGTAGCCACAAAAGGAAAAGGGAACAACAGATAAGTGGGGGTCAGTTGCTCCTGCCTTGGCCCCGTGCATCCCTTCCCCGCAAGCTGCCCGGCTTCCGGGACACCCCGGGCCCACTCCAGGCCCCCTGGCCCCAGACCTGGGCACTGCACCAGCAGCAGAGCCAAGAAGAGGAGCAGCCGCAGCAGCAGGGTAAGCCCCGAGGAGCATCCTCTGCTCCGTGGCCAGGAAGCCCGAAGGCAACACCCAGGCTCGGGGGAGACACGAGGCCAGCCTCTGGTGGCGGAAGGAAGGGAAGCCCTACGGAGGATGCCCCTATGCAGCCCCCCTCCTCGCCGCCCCCCCCGCCCCCCGCCGCCAGCCTCTGGCCACCCCAGGCCGGGCACGCCAGCTGGCAGGACTCACCACGGAGAAGTTGCTGGCGGAACAGTGATGCCCACTGAAGTTGCAGCTCTTGAGCATGTCGGCAAGCTGGTGGCCAGTGCGGTTGAGGATGTCTACCATGTCAGGCTCCGGGTAGCGCAGGCCAGCGGCACGGTGCCCGTCCCGGTCTTTGGGGGGCAGCCCTGTCAGGTTGGCCAGGTGGAAGATGTCGGCGTCGCTGAGGGCCGAGTGCCGGAAGCGGTTGATGTTGCAGAGGGTGACCGCCGGGAAGCCCGCCACTGGGGCTGGGGCGGCAGGGTCCATTGCCACCAGGTGAGGCCGGGTCAGGTAGCCCCGGGCCAGGCCGGCAGCCTGGTACAGAAAGGCGGCCAGCGAGGTGAGGAGGGCCAGTGCCCACAGGGTTCTGCGCAGTCCGTGGGGGCCCGGGCCACAGGCCCGGCCCAGGCCGTGCAGAGTGCTGGTGCTGGCAAAGGTGGCCAGGTCCCGGGGGGCTGCTGTCCCCTGTGCAGCCCCCAGGAGGCTTTGCTCATCCCCTGCCTCCTTCTCCTTGGGTTTCGCATCCTCCTCTGCAAATTTGATTTTGCACACAATCTCGATCGGCATCTGTCCCCGGCTGCTGGGACTGTGGCCGGAGCCTCCCTGCCCCTGTCCCTCCCTGGCCACTGGGCCCCCCCCCAGTGCCCTCCCGAGTGGCGGCGGTGGCAGTGGCCGCTCTTCGAAACTCAGGGCAAGCAGGAGGAGGACAGGGACGGGGTGGGGGCCCGAGGTGGGGGAGTCACTCCCACTCCCAGCAGCTCCTCAGCCCTGCCGCCGCTGCCTCAGCTGCTGCTTGTCTCGCTCCTCGATCGGCTCCTTGTGGCTTCCTTATCAGCACCAGCACAGCTGTCAGCCCCTGCGTGTGTCCCTGCGAGCGAGCGAGCGAGCGAGGGAGTGAGCGAGCGCCGCTCCGCCACGCCGCGCAGCCCCAGCCGCGCCGCTCAGCATGTGCTCCGGAGCCCACCCCGTGCTTAATAATTCAGGACATGTCAACAGCGCTTCACCGGCGCCTCTGGCAGCAGGAGCCAGGCCAGGGGCGGGGGGCAGCCCCCCCACACCCCCACCCCACCCCCCGGGGCCCAGGACAGGGATCCCCGGGCCCCTGCCCCAGACCTCGTCGGGCTGCCCCCCCAAACTCTTGCTACAGCCTAGGCACTCGTGGGGTCCCCAGAGGGCCGCACTCCCAGGCCACTCAGAGAAGACATCTGCACCCAGAGGCCTCGGCTCGTTCCGCCACTTTTCGGGTCAGCCAACTCCACCCCCCACCTCCCTGACTCCTGACTCCAGCACCCAGCCACCACCTGCCCCCACTACCTCACTCACAGCGGCTTCCAGAAACTCCTTGGGAGAGCCACTTGTTTGAATGAGGGAGGGGAGGGCAGAGGAGGGCAGGCAAGACAGACAAGGGGACAACGGTGACTCCACCAAGATGCTTGGCTTCCCTGGAGCTTTGCTCCCAACTTCAACACCCACCATGCCCCCGCCTGCCCTGGGATGCTGGCCGCCCCCTCCCGTCCCCCCAAACTCAGTCACTCGTGGGTCTGAGACAGGACGCCCTGGCTGGCTTGCACATCTATGGCCACTTGGCTAATCCAAACGTTTCTCAAATCCCTTGCCAAGCCAGGCTGGGGGTGGGGGGAGTGTGTGGGGTGAACAAGCCAGGGAGCAGAGACCAGGTAGGATGGGTGGGGGAGAGGGTATGGAATGGAGGGAGAGGAAGAGCCCAAATGGGGATTTGGGAGGGAGGAGAAATGTGCGGGCTTGAATGGGAGGGAGTACTATCCCAGAAGCAGAAGCAGAAGCAGAAGAAGAGGGTGGCCAGACCGTAGGGCAGGGGAGCCCTGGCCTGGCTGCTGGCTCACGGAGGGGAAGCAGGCACGTGGGTTGTTCTCACAGGCAGGGGTGGGTCCCCAGTTGGCAGCCCAGGAGGAAATGCCTTGGTGCTCCCAGGGTGGAGTGGTCACAGTGAGCAGCTTGTGTTCTGGGGGGGGGGGGGGGGGGGTCCCGTGTGAGAACGTGAGCCCTCCCTGGGGAGGAAGCACTTGTCCCCCAGATGAAAGGGGGGGGCTGATTAATTGGGGCGCTAATGAGCAGCAGGGAGAGGAAGCTCGGAGGGGCGGGGGAGGTGGCTCCATCGATCTGAGCCGCGGAACCAGCAGCTGAAAAAAAAGTGAGAAGGGAATCGATCTGAGGGAAACGGCAGCTGCTGGGGATTAGAGCCCCAGGTCCACCCGCTGCCCAGAGGCCACCCCTCCCCTGCATCAGGACTGCCCCGCCAGTCACAGCCGCCGCCTGGACCCAGAGGAGGGGCCTAGGGGCGGCTACCCTGGGGAGCAGGGAATATGTCACTGCCCACCTTGGCTGCGAGGCCAGGTCAGGCCTCATCAGTCACCGGTCACCCCAGCATGGAGCCCACCAGCCCCGAGCCCCGGCCACGTGTGGCACTCTGCTGGGGTGGTCCCCAGCCTCTCTTCAAAGTAGCTTCTGGGGGGGTGCCCCTACGGCTGGGCTTCCCGCACAAGCAGTCTCCCCCCAGCTGGGAAGAGGAGGCCCCTGGGGTCAGGGCTAGGGCCGGCAGCGTCCCAGAGGGAAAAAGCGGGAAAGGCACGGGAAGCAGCCGCTGAGTTAGCCCTCAGAGCCTCCAAGTGACCACAGACAGTGCCCCCTACCCGGGCAGCCCCCTGCCATGCTCCGCCCTCCCTGCTAGACTCCCAGACCCTTTAGTGCTTCCGCCCCACCTCCTCCTCCCCCAGCCTACCCCCCTTTCTCCTAGTATTGATTTTTCTTTACTGGGTTTTTTTTAAAAGGTGATTTAATTGCTTTTTTAAGGTTACTTCAGTCTGGGGCTCTGCCAAGAAAGCGGGGAGCTGCCCCCCGAGCTCTCCCCAGCACTCGGTGCTACCCTGGACTCAACGCATGTCCCTAAATTGCCCTGAGATCCACTGGGATCACGGGGTCCTACTCCCCTAATATACTGGCCTCCATCATCAGCCCAAATCACACCTTCTTTCCTCCAGAGGGCATGGTACGAAGCCTCTGAAGGAATGAAGTTGGGGGGTGGGTGGAGAGGGGAGTTCCAGGCCACTCGGAACTGGAACAGGAGTTCACTGCACTCACGCCACCCCCCACTGCCCCACAGCCAGCTGTCTCCAATTGTCCCCAGGTCCCCATCACCCAGTCTCCCAGACCCCTAGGAATCCAGTTATGCTTGGTGGGAGCCCCCTCTCACATCCCCTCCGCCCATCCTGCACCTCACCCTCCAGTCTCTTCTGTCTCCTCTGCCCCCCTGTCCCCCTACACCCCCTTCCCCTCTGGCCCCCTGTCCTTTTCCCCCCTCCCTCTCCCCGCTTCCCTGCTTGCCTCCCTCTCTGCCCGGCTGCAGTTGGGTGATAATCTCCCTCATTTAGCCTCCCGGCTGCTTCCCCGGCTCATTGCCCAGCTGGTCCCTGGGGCCCGGCCCAGCTTCTTCCCCACCCCCACCCCCAGCCCTGCGCCCAAACTCCCCCCATCCCCTCCTGGCTTCCCCCACCTACTCCCCTGGGACCAGCTGCCCCCCCTGCAGTGAGCATCAGGGCCAAGCGTGGTTGGCCGGGACCTGAGCTGGGTGTGAGCAGAGGGGGGAGGGCCTGTCAGGGACTCGGGCTGGGAGTGGGTGTGGGGCACAGGAGAGGCACAGGGGTGAGGGGCCTGCAGGGCCAGGCTTCTGTGGCTCTCCAGTTGTCCCCATTGCCCGGGTTTGTTCCTGGTCCAATTCTCCACCCAGCCCCATGCCCCAGAGGTGAACGAGGCTTCCTGATGGTGGTGGATGGACCGGCAGGCAGAGAGATGAGTGGCACCTGTCCAGCCAGACAAGGCAGAGAGCATGGGAACGGGGGACAGAAGGGTGAGGGAGGAGGCAGGGAGGGCAGGAGGGTTCTGCCAGAGCACCTGAGGAAGTGCAGGTTTTATTTGGGCAATGCCTCAAAGGCAGACCCAGAGACCTCCCATGTTCCAGCTTGGGGGTTCCAAAGGGAGCCTCCAAGGTCCTTACTGCACCCAGGCTTTTGGGACTTTGCCTCTTTTCCCAGCAGAGCACCCCCACCTCCACCCCCGGTGCACCGTCTGCATTTGCGCCTTCTCACCTCCCTTCCTGGGTGGCCCACTCATAAATGACATGACCCCCAAACTCTTAGCATTCTTCTAGAGAGAGTCCCCAGCCTCCCCCTGCTCCCAGAGGACGACACCTCCTGGCCACCCTTCCCAGCCCAGACACCTGTCCCAGCCCTGGCTCTGGTGCGGACCAAGGGATGAGCTAGTGTGGGACGGATGTGGGCGGGAAGGGACAAGGATGGGGGGGCGGAGGCCGGGACTGGGCCAGGCCTGGCTGGTGAGCAAGCAGCGGTGACAAACGGGCTGTGCGGGGGCCGAGGGGCGGGGGGCGGACGGCGGCTGATTTATCTGGGTTATTTATGCCGCGGACGAGGCAGGAGAAGCGGTTAATGAGAGTTCCAGCGAAGGGGGGGTGGGGAGGCCCGGACGTGATCTGAGGCGACTGAAGAGGGTTAGCGTCCCACCGCCAGGCCCTGCCCCCACTGCCGGCCAGCACTCTGCACCCCCTACCCCATCCTCGGGCCAGCCCGGCCTGACCCCATCCTCTTCTGGGGATGCCCAAGCTGAGGCCCTGGATCACGGGCTGAGGGGCACCAGGTCCAAGATCGAGGGGCAGGTGACTGGAGGAACTGAGGAGGGGACCAGAAAAGGAAGACGAAAGAGGAAAAAATCTTGGCGAGGCAGAAACTGCCCAAGTCTGTGGGGCCTTCAGGGGGCGGTTGGGGGAGGAAGGGACCAGTGTGGGAGTGGGTGGGCACCTGGCAACCTCAGAACGGAGCCTGGAGAGAGGGCAAAGGGCACTGGGGTGCAAATTTGGTGTCGGCCAGGAGCCATCCTGGGGGCCTGAGAGGCAGAGACATGCTGAGAGTGGGGGTGCTGGTCAGAGAGAAGCGGGAGCCAGGAAAGGAGGGGGAGAAGATCCAGAGGAGGGGGAGAGGGCTTTGCAGCAGTGAAAGCTGCTGGGAGCAGATAAGGCGGCTGAGCCGCGGGAGGGATTAAAGCTCTGAGGGGCGGGGGCGGGGGCGCGGCGCGGACGGGGGCGGGGGGCAGGAAGGAGAGGGCCGAGGGCAGGACATCGGGGCCAAGACGAGCGGGAGAAACGAGGGCTGTGAAGGGGACAAGATTAAATCGGGGGGCCAGAAGGTGGCTATCGCTTGGCAGAGAGGAAAGAAGGGGCTCCTGATCATCTCATGGGGGTGGGGACTTCCCCCTACTGGCGAGCCCGCATGCCCTGCAAGTGCCAAGGGTAGCAGAGCTAAGCAGAGGGGTGCACGGCAGATGGGGTGAGTGGGAATGGCAGGGCCGGCCGGGGGAGCCTGGGAGCTCCCGGCTAGAGAACTGAGGGCACGCAGCGCCTCCTTGAGGTGGCAGATGGAACACCGTCACAGGGAGCCACAGTCAAGGGTGCTCCGCCAGCCAGCGCTGGGATGGAGACCCCATCACACCCAGTGTGGCAGGAACCACTGTTTCACAGGGGATTTCTTTGTGGGGAGCAGTATGGGCATGGAGGGAGGGCAGTGGCTTGGCCAGGCTCACGGCTCAGACCCGCAGCCCCTTACCACCTCCTGCCCTCCTGTTCTCCAAGCCTCCCAGAAAGGTGTGCTCGGGAAGGGGGAGGCCCCTGCTCCCTCCTGAAGAGCCGAGGTGGTAAAGGCAGCGGAGGGGAGCCCGGAGGGAAGGAAGGGGAGGAGGAAGAAGGGGCGGGGGGAGGGGCGCGGGGGTGGCAGGCGGGGCAGAGTAATTGCGTGTTTGTCAGTTCTCCTGTCTGCACAGGAGGGAGCGAGTGTGGTGGTGGTGGGTGTAGCTTCGCCTCGAGGAGTATGTGTCTGTTGGCAGAGGTGTCAGTGTGTCTGTCTCAGGGGTCTAGGCTCTCCTTGGCCCCCGCCCTCCCCTCTGTGTTTTGGGGAGCGCGGCTCTGGGCACACCCAGCTGTGCTCCGTGCTGATGCGGCAGATGTGGCGGGGCCCCAGCTGTGCCTGCTTCCCGGAGAGGGGGAGGGGGCCGCAATCTGCTCCCCCGGTAATGGCCGCTGAGCGCCAGGGGGAGGGCATGGAGATGGGGGTGGGGCTGGGGCCCAGGTCAGCCCCGCCAAAGGGACAGGAGGCGGTGAGGGCCCTGCCCCCACTCCACCCCACCCCGGCCAACCTCCCCCCAATCTGTGTTCTTGGCTCGGCCTCTCCCCCTCGCTGGCTCCTGAAGCCCATCCAAATTTCTCTCCAAGCTCAGTCCCCGTCCCCAGCCCTCCTCCCATCACCCCATCCAGCTCGGTGCCAGGGACCTGCCCCCCTCCCCAGCCCCCAGCTTGCTCCCCATCGCTGATTTTACAGAATAATCTTTTTATGGAAACCTAAAAAAGCACTAATGGCAGGAGCTCACCCCTCCCCCGCATCCCTTCCCCCGCTCATCCCCCACTTCCCACCCCAGTTCCCTTGGTTCTCCCTCCTCAAACCCTTTGGGGGCCAGCACCCTCCTACCCCTTCAGGGCCAGTGAGGACCTAGACGTGGTGGAGAAATGGGCTCCCACATCCTGGGCCCCAAACTGTGCCCTCAGAGATGGATGGGGCGCTAGGTCCTTCCCAGGGCAGACAAGGGCTGGAGAGGAGTGGAGGGCATTATGACTCCTCAGAACCGCACCCCCCCACCTCCAGCACAACAGGGACTCCACCAGCCTGGTGGGAGGGGGCATGTTACAAAGATCTCAGCTACACTAGCCACCCCCCCACTTCAAACACTGACCCTTTCGCCTTCCAGTGCCTCTCCCCACCCCCATTGGGCCTAGGAGGGGGCTCCCGGGGGCCAGGGCCTGACACAGACTTATTGGATTTCACGGTGTTTTGCTGAGAAAATAATT